AGTCTTCAAAGACCAGTATTCCTCTGGTCTTTGGAGTGAAACGTTGCTGTGCTCTTTGGTTTCAACTGAGCCGAGAGGAAGCAAACACTAGTAGTTCTGAAATAAGTTACAGCATTGCACCAACAGATGGAGAAGATGCTGCAGTGATCTTTAGAATAACTTAGAACAACTGCAAAGAAGTTTGTAAGGAGCCTATGGCCTTGTTCGATCAATAGCTGGATGGGGTCAAAGCTGACCCCAAAGTCCAGTTTCAGAGCATGAAGTTGGATGGGGCTGAGGAGATCCATGAGCATGGATGAACTGGGATTGTAGAGGTTTGTAGCTGCTGGATCAGACAAAGGGTCTCAACTAGAAATGAACCAAGAAATGTTGCCAAGATGTCTGTCAGCAATGAGGAGAGTGTGATGCTTGAGAAACAGGGCAAAGACTTGGAAAGGTGCTCGGGAAAGGATTTTCAGGTGTTGAAGCAGTTGTAAACCCCACTGGACGTCTCCTTCAGTCTCCAGTGCAGACTCATCCAAAGGAAACTAAACTTAATAGACATAGAGTGCTGAAACCCTTAACTAAACTTAACACATTTTGCTGCCAAAGTTTTGTACAATGAGGTATAATGAAGCCAGGAGCAGGAGGCAGGGACAGCAAGCTGTTTTCATCCACAGAAATAAATGCATAGCTTGGCTTCATGTAAAGAGGTAGGCATGGCCTTATTCTGTTGACATTTTAATTTGGTTTCTGCAGTGTATTTGACCCACCATGGTGTTCTGATAGCTGCATGTAGATGCAGTACCTTTGAATCTTAACAGAAATCAGTTCAAAATGCAAAAGGTTATCAAAAATGTAATATTTTCATAGTTCTTGAAAATGCTCACGGATAGCCCAGTGTGATCAAAGCAAATGCTTGTGCCTATACAGACACTATTTAACATGGTGAGTAATTGCTTGATTAAAACATCTTGGTACTCAGAAAAGACAAAGGAGAAAATATTAGGCATGTAGACAAGAGAGGCAAAGCCATAGCCTGCTCCACCCCCAGAATGGACATCAGAGGCAATCCCTGGAGCCATCTCCATACCCAACTGTGCTGGTAGCTTTGGGCTCACCCCATGCTCCTACCAGTGAAGGTACTGATGGCTAACCCCCTCCCTCAAGGCACCATTAAGCAGAACTAGGATTCATAATAAAGTAGGAAAACAGGCGGGCTTCTCTAGGTCTTAAATTTCATCGCAAACATTCCATGCAGTCCTGCCATTGCTAAGGGAGAAAACTCTGAGGACTAATATATCAGCAGTCCAAAGCTGTGAATATTTTTAATCCTAGCAATGTACCACCTGTCTGCTATGAGAAGGAAAGTTGCAGCCCTGGAAGGTTATAAACAGTTGAAGTATATAAAATTAGTCTGTAAGATGACCGTGTCCAATAATCCATCCTTATTTGCAGAATCTGCAGGATTTCTATGCAAGTCCTCCCTTTGCTGGCTAGTTCTTTAGTTACCTTGCCCTGTTCTTAGTTTCAGTTTTCCTACAGGTTGAAAGGAAAGATGTAGTCTTCTTGGAATTACTTTTATAAATCTGCATGGACATTTTTGGCCTTCCACGATCTGAACATGAGCTGAAAAGTACATGAAGGTGTCTCTAAGCCATCCTGAGGCTTGTTGCAAAGGACGGCATAAAAATGTTTAAATAAATTAAATTAAATAACATTTAAACACTATTGTTCTTTATGAAGGCAAGGTGATTTTGGCTATTCCCCTATAATGGTCTGGATCATAACTTTCCTTCTGTGAATAGTACAGAGGCCATTCTCACAGAATGCTGCTTTCCCTGCCACCATCTTTCCTATGAAGCTCCTGCTCCTTTCCTGTGGGGGTCTGTGGACAGTTACAGCTGGAAAGTGAATTGGTACATAAATAAGGAGCAACTTACGGTCCAAGCCAATTTAATAGTAATGCTGAACTGCACCTGGATTGTGCCTTTCCAAAAGGTGCATTGCTAGCATCTATTTGATGGCTGATTTTGTTGATTTATTAGATTTATATCCTGCTCTGAGCTTTATCCCCACAACAATAATACTGCAAGGTAGGTTGGGCTGCGAGTTTGTGACTGACCCCAAGTCACTCAGTTGGCTCCTTGGCTGAGCAGGGACCAGATCTCCTGAGTCCCAGTCCCACGCCCTTAGCCACTAAACCACCCTGGATCTATGATAAGTCTCCAAGGACTTGGCTATACTATTACCAATTTAACACTAGTAAAACTACTAGGAAGTAGAGATGGATGGAAAGATCTGTTTCTGAATTGCATCACTTTTGCATGTGTTTATTCACAAGTCTCTTCTATCCCATTTCCACATAAATTTGATCAAAAACAGTAACCCATATAAACCTCCCAATTTAAATATGTTTTCAAACAATTTTTCTCAAAGTATACATCTCTAGTGGAGCACTGCTTTGCATCAACCAGTAAAGTGCAAAATCTGACATTCCAATCCAGAGTGTGGAAAAGGTCGGGTTGGGTGGTGTTGGAATTCAAAAAGATAAAATTTTCTGCGCATCCCTACATGCAAGTGACTTGAAATATTCATTAGTGAGTTCCAGTACATCAGGATGGTGTCAAATCTAGGGGCTGTTGATAAAAGTTAACCTTATGGGGAAGGTTGGGCTGCTTTTTTCATCTCTGGGGGAAAGACTGGCTGTTCTCAGTGGAATTTCCCTTCAGCTGAGCATATGTAGGTTCAACCTGTGTTGATTATCTAGTGATAATCAATTTTCTAGTTTCAGTGGGTATGACTGGATATAGAAAGGAGTCTATATTACTGCAATAAACTTAAAAAACTGGTTAGCTTGGAGGCAGCTGCTATATTTATACCATATTTAAAAGCAATAAGCTGGTGTCCTGGCTGTTTACCAGCCTAAACAGACAGTCTATTTTGGGTGAGGCAATATCATATCTCTTCACAAACTTCACAGGCTACTTTTATATCCAGGATGTTCCTGGAGGAAGCAACACTTGCTAGCATCCTGTGCCCAGGTCAAGAGTGCTGTTAAACAGCTCTGTGTTTGTGTGAAGGGCAGGCGGGTTGGTCACATCTTGTAATTTAGACATGGATTATTATTATTATTATTATAACATTTCTATGCCGCCCCTTGCCGAAACCTCGGGGCGGCTTACAACATGATAAAATACATTGAAATACAATAGTACATAATAAATTACCATTAAATATAACAATACAAAAAATACATTGATTTACAAATACAAAATTAAAATTATCAGTATAAAATAAAAATATAGGAGGAGAAAGAGAAGGAAGAAGAAGTTGCCCAGGCCAGATCATATGTTTTAACAATTGAAATGATGTTTAAATAAAAAGGTCTTTACCTGGCGCCGAAAAACCAGTAACGACGGTGCCAGGCGGACCTCTTTGGGGAGTGAATTCCATAGGTTGGGCGCCACCGCAGAGAAAGCCCTCCTCCGGGTACTTACTCTCCTAATTTCTTTCATGGAGGGTTCCTGGAGAAGGGACTCTCCCGCAGATCTCAAAGGGCGGTCGGGCATATATGCAAGACAGGTCACGGACTGTATCTCGTTAACTGTGCCTTCTATGGGCCAAATTGTAAACCATTCTAGGTCAGTATGGCTGTTGAACTATATATCAAAGAATAAATAAAGACATATTAAATTAAGCAATACAGTATTTAGCCCTTGTACAGCTGACTGCTTTAAAAAAGCTGGTATGAGTGTGCTTAGCTGGGGGCAAAGGGTTAATGCTTCCCTCTTCCCATAGACACATACTGGGGTCCGGGTCCAGGTCCAGGCAGGTCTTTTTTTCAAGTTAGCCATGCAAGGGCTAAATATGTATATAAATAATACCACATTCAGTTTGACCCCACAGCACACACAGGCTTTCATACAGAACTGTGTTTCTCACACAGGATTCCCAAGAATATCTGTTCTTGTGGGGCAGAGTCTGTAAAAAGAGAAAGAAAAGGCAATCCAGTCGTGAGAGGGCAAGGCTTCTGTGTGCTCCACCGTCTGTTACGACTCCCAGTTCGCTTTCCCTGTATACTGCTTCTGCATGTTGCTCCCACGGCTTGGATTTACCAGCCAGAGGCCTCCCCTGCTGCCCCCAGTCTGGGGGAAGCACTGCCCCCGTGCTGCCCTTTCAGAGGTGCTTTCCAGGACAAATGCTGGGTGTGGGGGGTGCGCTGTGGACAGCCTTTCTTTTTCAACCCACCCATGTGGGCGGGGCTTGGCCTTGGAGACCCTGCCCCCAGGAAACAGCGCCACTTGTGCTACTAAATCACCTGCTTTAGAGGCTGGTGTGGGATGAGCTATTGCGGGTAAGAAGAGGGAGCTGTTTGGCTAAGAATGTGAAATATACATTTAGTAATAAGTCAGTAGTAAATAAATAAAGCCGTGTTCATGCATGTGCATATGCTTGCTTGAGAAGTGATGGTGGCACAAGAAAAATACCTAAGGGGGCCTTATGTCCTCCATGAAGCCTTCCACACTACCTACGGTCTCATATATGTCCATCTGATATCACCTTCTACAAATGAAGGGTGCTTACTCTATGGAATTGTGCTCTTTTATTTTACACTCAACAAACATGCAAACTTTTAATTCTTTTAAATAACATGAGCAAATTTTAATACCAGGGTCAAATCTTTTAGGTACAGAAGCTGGATCCTCTGGAGGACAATTCCAGCATTTTACAAATAAGTTCCTAACTGAAACCACCCCTAGTCAGTTTATACAGTCCTTCAAACCAAGGAAGAGTAGTTTATATTTATTACACCTGTCTAAAATATTCAATGATACATATAAGTACTGTCCATAAATACTTCATTTCATGCTCAGCCCAAGAACAAGGAAAGACAAAGGAATATAGCATCTTTCTCATATGAGTAATTAACAGAATCCAGAAAACTGAATCAAGCTACACCATCCTATCCTTAATCCTTTTTTAAAAATCTCTCCCTCTTCCCTCATTCCCAATTTCAGCCCATCACCTCATTGTGGTCACTGCATGCCATGAAACCACCTATGGGCAACTCATCCAGGATTTTTGTCTCAGCAAGTTCAAATCCGACATGGAAACTCTCAGGAAGACGCTGTGGTGTGACTGGGATAAGACTTTGGGGTGAGTGCCAAATTGTCTTATCAAATGAGAATCAAAGGGGGATGTAAATACCTGCAAAATGGGGTACTGGATTTCAGGAATTCTGTTCAGGAAAACCCCAGTGTTAGGAGGCTTTTTCTGTTGTTGCTCCAGTTGAAGGGAACCCGTACACACACCTTGCTTCGGCTTGTCATATGAAATCTTCACAGCAGAAGACCTGCCACAGTACTGCAGATACGAATGTGAGCTGCCTTTATCCAGCGCTCTCTCGGCTTCCCCCATCTTCTAAATTCTGGAAGATAATCTAGCATCATCCTAATTTGTGTGTACAGTGTGAACCATGATTTTGTCAGATCAAATATCATGTATGCTGAAGAAATTTTAGTGTACTTTTTCAATATGTACATGCATCCAAAATGTCCAATTTGCCAGGCACACTCGCTTATTGAAGATCCTTGCAGGACCAGACCAAAGGCCTATCTAGTCTCACGTCCCCTTTCCCAAGGCAGCCAACCAGATGCCTCTGGGAGGTTCCAGACTGCTACTGGCTTCTGAAGGCATGCAAGCAGGCTGCTGCTGATGTGGAAGCAGCCAGAGGTCACCTTGTCCTTCATGAATTTGTGTGACCCTCTTTTAAAGCCCTCTAAGATGGTGAACCTCCTCACATCCAGTGAAAGCTGATTCCATAGTTCAGCTGTATTCTGTGTTAAGAAGTACATCCTTCTGTTTGTTGTTCCACTTTGTTTCCCAGGAGCCCTGAACTGTTCTCATGGTCTGTTCACTTCATCAGGTTTCCCTTGTAGGTCTCAGCATATGCTCTCAGACCATGAGCATATGGTAAAACAATAGAAGAGCCAGTGTGCAGCCAGATACGCTGGTCACAAGACAGCCATATAGATACATTTGGCTGGATTCACTGATGCCTTTAAGTGGGCAGTTAACAGTACAGCCCTATACATGTCTGCTCAGAAGTCCTTCAAGGAGATTTACTCTCAGTAAGTAGATACATGACTGCAGCCTAAGACTTTATTTCTTCAGGCTTTAGGCCGCAATCATATCTACAGCAACCTGGGAGTAAGACCCTTTGGACTGAAGGGGGCTTACTTCTGAGTGGGCACATATAGGGTTACAGTGGTGGCACATTTCATTCTTGCTTGCTATGTGATTTTTAAACTTGCTTTGGTGTGTGTTATTTGCATTGCCTCTCTGCGGTTGAGCCCTCTGGTTCTCACAGAAAAGGCAAAACAAACAAACAAACGATTGCTGAGCTGTGAAAATGGTATCCTGATTCTGAGATTAACTCCTTCTACTGGAAATCCTAAACTGATGGTTAATCTCCTCATACTTAGTTGAATCCTGAGGCCTGGCAACCCTGGATTACTCCTATGTTTATATCACATCCTGCACTGTACCTTTTTTTTTTTTTTTGTTTAAATTAAGCACCAGTTTTCTCACCTTACCTGTAACTTTCCTGGCCTTTCCAGGGGAAAGTTCAGCTAAATGATGGACTGCATGTCAGGCACCTGACATGAAATGCATGGAGGAGACTGCTCAGTCCCACGCAGCTCTGTCCGCTGCACTCTTGAGCCCACACCCGCCATTGCTGGCAAACTGGCAAAGCACTGCTGTTTCTGGCACAGACTGCTGCCAGGCCCTGGGAGCCTTCTTTGGTTGGTGCCCAGATGCAGACAACAAAATGGCAATCTTGCAATCCCACTTGAAGACTGTAGCTTGATCCCTGAAGAAAAAGAACTGGAAAAGTACTTGCAAAAAAACTTGAATTTTCAGCCTGGTGAAAAAAAAAATGTTTATATAACTGGACTGCTTTCCAGTCAGACTGGCTTCCGCAGGGAAGCAATGGGAGAGAACTTGTCTAATCATGTTGAAACAGTGATGCGTGTGATTCCAAATCCAGTGAAGAAACTCTCCCCTTAATAAAGAGATGCATACATGCATGAGGTGCTAAATCAATACTTGTGTAGGGGCCTGTCGGCTGTTGTAAGCAGGCCCAAATGTAAGGATCTCGTCCCAAATGTAAGGTTTTGTTCCATGGCTAATATGCTCCTTGGTGTGATCGTGAGGTCTGGAAATCTTTTAAGGGTTTAAGAAAAGTATGTAGATGCATTCCAGCTCCTATCGCCAGCAGGATCAGGAAGCGGTGCCTCACAGCTGTGCAACGAGCTGATCATTTTACATCAGAAACACATTTTAAAATGCAAGTGAAGCAGAGATGACATCTTGTACTCTGACACCTTGGATTAATGGTGTCTCCAGTGTCTGATCTCCCAAGTACAGTAGGGGGGAGTGAAGCACAAAGTGATCTGTTTTCATTGTACCTTTGCTGATTGCAGCTTGCTTGACCTGTGAGAAAACATGGTTAGTTTTGAATTTTTCTTGCTTAAAATAATATGGCATTGTAACATTTGCTCCTGAGGTAATTACACTGAGGTAATAATCCAGAGAGGCTGAACATAATCAGAATCTAACACTATATATGAAATTTTTATCACATATATATCCACCTTATGCCCGGGAAGTCAGGGCAACCTCCATGGAATTCCATGGCAGCACCCAGATCGCTTTGTTGCTGAAGGATGACAGCCCCAGGCAGTGTGAACCCATTCTCTTTCCTCAGGATGGAGAGGCCCAGGCGTGCCCTGCTCAGGCTGGCAAGCCATGGGTGCATTGCTCTGGTGAGGCATGGCCTATGGCTTGGCAGCACCAGAGTACTTCCCAGCCCCACATTCCTCATCAGTGCAAACAACAGCTGCTTGATTAAGAGATCAACCAAGAGTAATCTCGGTCCAGCTTCACTTACTTGTTCGGCCTCTTAGCATAGATGATGTGCCTGTGAATTCTCTGAATATTTATTTATTTAAAACTTTTGTATACCATCCACTACCAAATAGTCTTGGGATGGTCTTATTTTATTTATTTATTTATTTATTTAAAATATTTCTATGCCACCCCCATCGCAACAAAGCCTCGGGGTGGCTCACAAAGAATACATAAATGCATAAAAATAACAATACAACAAATAAAAAAAATTGTTTAAAAACCCCCGGTGCATTCTCGGCTAAAAATTTAAAATCCTATTAATTAAATAATTTAACAATTAAAGTAAGTTTTAAATAAAAAGATCTTAGCCTGGCGCCGAAAAACAAATAACAACGGCACCAGGCAGACCTCTCTGGGGAGCGCATTCCATAGATGGGGTGCCACTGCAGAGAAAGCCCTCCTCCGGGTACTCACCCTCCTAATATCTTTCATGGAGGGTTCCTGGAGAAGGGCATCTGTTGCTGATCTCAAGGGGCGAGAGGGCATATATGGGCGCAAGCGTTCCTTTAGATATCCAGGTCCCAAGCTGTTTAGGGTTTTATAGGTCTTAACCAACACCTTGAATCGGGAGCCAGTGGAGCTGACGGAGGACTGGGGTTATATGAGAACAACACCCAGTCCCCGTCAGCAGCCTGGCAGCTCTATTTTGCACCAATTGAAGTATCCGAACCGTCTTCAAGGGTAGCCCCACGTAGAGCGCATTACAGAAATCTAATCGGGAAGTTACCAGAGCATGTGTCACTGTCACCAGGCAGTCGTCTTACAATACAACAAAGTAAAGCATAGCATCAGGAACCACAGACCCATCCATTTTGCACAATGAACACTCCAAATGGCAGTGTTTGCAAGATATAACGTATATCATGGATGCACTTCGGCAGCAAAAACAGGAAGCTAGGAAAGAGCTTATCTAGTGGCAATTCTTGGCAGGAGTAAGTATCTTTGTGGGTGGTCTTGAGATCATGAATATCTGAGATGACGATGGTGATGATGATGATGATGGGCACCATCCAGTCATCTCCTCCCCTGGACATTTCCTTTCTCTTTTCCATCTCCCTCCCATTATGCATAATCCTGTGTGAAATGGTTCTCCATGAGAATCATGAGAATACAATAGATGGCAATGACTGCGTGAACTGTTTTTATTGGAATTCAGCTGAAGCAAGAGAAGCATTGGTTGAGCCGGCCCACGCTGGAATAACCATGTGAGATTGCATCATGTTGCTGCGACCCACTTCATTTTAACTTGACATGCAGCTGTTCCAGCTGGACCAAGATAAAAATACCCTCAGTGTGCTTAGGGCAACTATGCATCAGCACATATCTTTTCACCATTGTAATGCAGCATAGAACTGTGTGGCCTTGTTGGTATTTCTTTCTTCAAAATACTGTTGAGGAAATAAATGAGCATGCTGTAAAAAATGAAGAACTCCATACATTTGTTTGGAACTGGAGGTTTCAGTCTTCCCCTTGAAATCTAAATAACACAAAACATTCAGACATGATCACCAACACCAAGGAAAATATAGCAACATAGAAACAGTCAAAAGGGCCTCCTGAGCCATCTAGTCTGACCCCTGGCTCCAGCCGACTCTGCTCATGACATGCTCACCATGTGCATGCCTAGCCTATCCTTGAACACCCTCACCAATGGGGCCTCAACCACCTCCCATGGAAGCCCATTCCATGCCTTCAGGGTCGTAGCTGTCAGGAAGTACTTCCTGGCATCTAAATTGAACCTTGGTTCCCTGCGTTTTGCTCCACTGGAGCGCATCCTGCCCTCCTCTGCAGGGGAGAACAGACTTCCCATACATTTTATGTTGGAATTAGTTGTCCAAAGAATTATTTTCAAGGATAAATGTGTGAGCTAGAACCAGACAGGAATTGAGGACCCTGTGTAGGTCCCTGCAAAAGGTTCCTATGGAGAATCCGTTCCAACACAGATGGTAAGTGCCTGAAGGTAAACATCTCTGCCAGGAGACACAAGGGGTTCCGGCCTGGGTGGTCTGGAGCTACCTATCATAAATGGGATGTGACTGGCTTTCCACACATCAGAGAGCCTGTGTGGTACAGTGGCTAAGAGTGTGGGACTGGGGCTCAGCAGATCGGGGCTCTAGTCCCACTCAGCCACTAGGTGACCTTGGGCGGCCAGGCACTCACTCTCAGCCGAACTTACCTCACAG